GGTGGGCGGAGGTGGTGGTGGGATGGGGGTGGGGCGCGCGCAGCGCGCCGTGCCAAAAACACTTGCGACTTACGTGTTTAATCAACTTTACCGCGGGAAGGAAGAATTATTCTTGGTCAATAGATATATGGCAGATATAATAACGGAAAATATATATTGTAAATATCTTTTAAAAAAATAATAATAAGTGGGTAGCTTACTCTCATTCGTATGCTTAATAATATCAAAGACACTTATACATTCTTTGAATTGTATATGGTGTCAGAAACTTTCCACGTGAGGCCATCCTAAACGTACATGATATCGTGAACTACATAGCATTTGCGAAACTTCTTTTCTCCATAACTTTTTAACGAACAACGAGCGACGGCTAAAACCTTCTGAAGGTCACTCAGTAAGGTGACCTTGACAACATATGCCAAGGTCAAGGTCATTGGGGCTGGGTCCGTGTTTGTAAAGTTTTACCATCTTTTTGTTACACATCTGCTATTTAATAGTTTATCAGTTTGTTTAGTTCTTTTGTTTCTTTTTGGTTGGTAGTAACCATTTACTAATCTAGTTTTCTTTTCGTTCGTTGGTTGTACTGTTTCGACTAGCTCACTCAAGTAAACAGTATAACGTACTTATAATCAATGTAAAATAACCTGCTTGAATAAATTACAAAGTATACTACTTCTACTCTAAATAAAAGTGTCATTTTATTTAAGAAAAGTCAACAAAACGAATGACTAAAGAGTCCGCCTCCGAGATGGAAATATTGTACACAAACATTATGGAAATATATAGAACGCTTGAAACCTTACAACGACCAGTCGCATCTTGGGATGATTTCTTAGTATTCATCGCGGTTCAAAGGCTCGACTCCGACTCTGTTAAAGCTTGGGAATATCATCTAGGCCCGTCAAAGGACCCTCCGACATGGCAGCAATTCACCGAGTTTTTAATGACTCGATTACTTTCTTTGCAAGCGTTCGAGAAATCAAGAGGCACGAAAGGTCCTGCACAACCTCGCCAGATCCCAGTGAAGGCTCATTTTCAAGGAAAACTAAAGGATCAACCGGCTTTTAATTCAAAAACTTGTGGTATCTGTTCAGAGAATCATCATCCATCGAAATGTTCGCAATATGAATCAAAAACAGTACCTCAACGCATAGCACTGATTGTAAAGCATAAGTTATGTTACAATTGTCTAGGTCCTCATCGAGCAGCTACTTATAAAATCACGAGACGTTGTATAAAATGTGGAAATAAACACCATACTACCATTCATAAATCTGATATGAAGCCTAAAGTTAATAAACCTGATGCGCTGAATTCGGAAAATCATTCCGATTCAGCTACTAAACCAGTACAAAGTAACGTATTGCATTCTGCACTTGGAGTTCAATTCTCTCCATCAGAAGTTCTCCTCGCAACAGCTCGTGTCAATCTCTTGAACGATAGAGGTGAAAAGCGTAAGGTGAGAGTCTTAATTGATCAAGGCTCTGAGATATCTCTTATACGGGAACGTGTAGTTCAGCTGATGCGAATTCCTAGAAAGATGACTGCTATTTCTCTCGTTGGAGTAGGAGGTGAACAGACGAATAAGACAAAGGGTCTTACTTCGTTTACCTTGCAATCATTACATGATTCACAATCTACTTGTAGCGTTACAGCTCACATCCTGCCAAAGCTCACTACACCTTTGCCTTCTGCAAAGATAACTACTACTGTATGGCCACACCTTGCGGAGCTCGAACTGGCAGATCCTGAATTCTCATTACCTGGCGCTATTGACATAATTATTGGTTCTGATTTCTATGGTCACATTATACAGGACGGTTTAGTCAAAGGAGTTATTAACCTACCGACAGCTCAGCGCACTATCTTTGGATGGATCATTTCTGGTCCGTGTGGCTTTCAGCCAAATCCTAATTTGTCGTCATCTGCTCCATGTGGCTTACAGCCAACTCCTGTTGTGTCGCAAAGCTATCACGTTTCCGTTGATAGGGAATTACTTGAGGTCTTAAGTCGTTTTTGGGAACTAGAGGACATTCCTTGCTCGTCAAGATCTCTGCTTTCAACCGAACATCAAGCATGTGAGGATCATTTTCAATCTACTCATTCTAGAGATGAGAATGGTCGCTACGTTGTAAGATTACCTTTTAAAGATTCAGTGAGTCAGCTAGGAAATTCAAAGATTAAGGCTTTTCGGTTAATATCTAGGATGAAGAACACATTTGAAAACGATCCCGCATATAAACGTACTTACTTCGATTTTATGAACGAGTATAATCAACTCCAGCATATGCGCATTGTTTCTGATCAAAAGTATGACCCCCCTCAAGTATACTATTTGCCTCATCACGGTGTAAAACGAGAAACCAGTCTTACTACTAAATTAAGAGTAGTCTTTAATGGTTCAAGCCGTACTACCTCTGGATTGTCATTAAACGATATTTTACATACCGGAGAGAAATTGCAAACTGATTTGTTCAATGTTTTAATCTGGATGCGAAAATTTCTCTATGTTTTTTCTACAGATGTAGAGAAAATGTACCGACAAATAAAGGTACACTCCGATGACTGGAATTTTCAGCGAGTACTCTGGTTTGACCAGTCCGATAATATTGCCGCTTTTCAATTGACTACTGTGACCTATGGTCTAGCATGTGCACCCTTCCTTGCGCTCCGTACTTTATTACAACTGGTCAAGGATCACGGGGACCAGTACCCTTTGGCAGTGCCAAGCCTCACCAAAGGACGATACGTTGATGACATATTTGGAGGAGCTGACTCTATTCAGCAAGCACAAGAAATAGTAACGCAATTAAATAATCTCTGCATGGCAGGTGGTTTCCCTCTGCAAAAATGGTTCTGCAGTCACCCAGATATATTAGCATTTGTTCAAAACGACAAGAAGATCCTTTCTTCATCAGTTGCCATCAAAGATAATACCATGGTAAACATTCTAGGTTTATTCTGAAAACCGTTAATGGATACCTTCCAATTCCAATTCAAAAATATATCTACTGGTTCTGTTACCAAACGATCCATCTTATCTACCATAGCAAAGTGTTTTGATCCTCTCGGTTTTCTTTCTCCCATCAGTATAAAAGCAAAGATTTTATTGCAAGAATTGTGATCTCTCAAGCTCGAATGGGATGATCCATTGCCACCACCTCTTTCCGCTGAATGGATTAATTTTCTTCAAGATCTACAGGAGATTTCAAGCTTGACCTTTCCTAGATGGTTAGGCTGCACTTCTGACACGAAACTCGAAATACATGGGTTTGTGATGCATCTCAGCGAGCTATGGCAGCAGTCGTATACTTGCGAGCAACATCTCCTGATGGAAATACAAAGGTCACCCTGGTTTGTGCAAAAACGAAAGTTGCACCTCTGAAACGACTCACAATTCCGAGGCTTGAACTAGCAGGAGCATTTCTTCTAACAAAGCTAACTACTCAAGTTATACAAGTGCTTGAATTACAATCAGCTCCAATATATTTATGGACTGATTCCTCCGTTACTCCCAGTGGGAAATATAAAGTCGAAAAGACGTCATGTTGACGTCGAAATGTCGAAATGTTGACGTCGAAATGTCGAAATGTTGACGTCGAAATGACGTCGAAATGCCTGGTCGAAATTATGTAAATTTGGTCACAAGAAACACCTCTTTTCGACGTCGAAATAAGATCCAAGGTGACGTTAAATATTGTCTCTGGCAATATGCTTTAGAGCTTTAAATCAGG